AGCAGGTGAGTTCTCATTAGCATTTATCCCATTGGCTGAAACTTCTCAGCATGGAGATCAGGAGGAACATGCAGAGGGTGTCAATCCTGCTCTTCATCTTCTCTCCAGAGGACTCACTGGCAAGAAAGAGGTGATTCCTTCAGGGTTTTCTTGTGTATTAACTATCCTATACTATATTGCATTTCATCTACAGCGTAGGCTATATTTCTAAAATGCAGCCTCTATGCCTTTTATTTCTGTTTCAATTTATCATATTAGGCTTAGTCAAGCACAGAAAGGAATATTTAGACATGTGAAAAATTATGGAAAGGGCTTAATTTCTCTCGGTAAAAAGTGTTTACATACCTGTTTGCATGGTTATTATATATAAGGTATAATAATAACTGCTAAAAAATCTTAGAAGTCAGTAATTATTATTTCTGTAATCTACACCAATAATGATATTATATTAACTCTCAAGCAACATGAGACCATTATCATGTCATGGGATAGCTTGATACACATCTAGGATCCTAAGAGTGAAAGCACACTTTTCTGAGATGGTTAAGCATCTCATTAGTGAAGCTGTGAAGTCTCTTCCAGACTCATGATACTCTGATATACATTCCTGATGGCAAGTGATGTAAAATAGTCCCACCCACCTGCTATCTCAAAAGTGATGGACAGGAAAAGTGTACCATTAAACTTCGATGTTCTATGATAGTTACTTTCTATAACAAGAGGGAATTAGTACCATAAGCAAAGCTCTTCTTTACTTTTTCAAAGTAAAGCATTGGCCCTAGTGTGCTTGTTATTATAACTATAGATAGAGAGCTATATGCATAATGAATTTACGTTATACTTAGTAGGAATGTGACTATTCTCATTTCTTGGTAGAGCATGGGGAAATAGGAGTCTATAAGCCTTTCTACACAGTCCAGTTCAACTGTTTGTCCTTCCAACTATCTTTTACAAGCACCAATCCTTCCTGTTGTTGTACCTCATCACACAGGTTCACATTCTGGGTTGTCTTTCTTAGTAAGTAACCCGAGTCTCTCTACTCTTATCCAGATTTTATTAATATACTTCCTACAGAACACTCGTTCAAGTCTTCTGTGATGTAAATCACCTTGAGTATGATCTACTGTTTCACACTGTTTTAGTTTCAATAATTTAGACCATGTTTAACCTGCACCCAGTGAAAGGATTCCTAGGTCATTGTACTTAAAATCAACTTTAGTTTCCATTTGAACTCTGGAAGCAATCAATTTGTTCCTACTCAGCCGATCATGAGCATCCAATGAGGAATATTTTTAGCTGCTGTCTAAGATATACATGGGTCACTTCCCCACAAGCTCCATCCTGTTATACTCTGATAAGGGCTGATTTGTCTAGTTTGAGCTGGACACCATATACAGCTGCCTGAAATCCTGATCACGTGGATGAACAAAAATGTTAGGTTTTCCACTACTAATTCTTCTCAGTAGGGAGCTTGCCAGGCCTTTCTTCTAAAGAGATACACTTGTCCTCTGGCTGGATATTGTAAGAGAAACATTGTCTGGATTTCAAGGGTTACCTACTGCTAGCAGCAGTAAATGGATTAAAGGTAGACACCCTCCAATATCATTAGGATATAGTTTTTTGTATTGCCTATAGATGCTACCACTAGCTTACACAATATTGTGATAATAATTTGACTGTCACAATTAGAGTGCTATGGTGTATTATACTAAACATGTGTGTACATAAGTCACTTAGGTTTTAATTTTCTGAAAACTAGGCTGATAAGAGTATTTTTGTGACCAGTGTGGTTTAATTTAGTTAACAGTAGTAGATATAACTATGAATAAAGTGATAAAGGTGACCCTGTCCTCATGATAATACAGATATTAACATTCTAATTTATGAGATCTACTTGTCAAAATAATAAAATAAGTTTATAAGAACTTCATATCACCTGCTTTCTTTGTGTGTTTGTGTGTAAGTTTATTTTGAGTCAAATTAGTTTCAACTGATGTTAAAAATACCTTGCTACTTGTGAAAAAGACTCATCTATAGAACAGTGAGACTCTGTAAAAGAAAGTGTGGAATTTGTTCTTTGAAATAAGTACACTATAGATAGTATATGGGGTGATTTGTTCATGGTAACACAGTCCAGATTTCTTGAGATGACTGTTTTCTAATGGGGCTTGGTTGTAGAAGCTGGTGTGAGAAGTCTTTTTCTCTCCTTTATTATAAAGGATTTTGGCGTTTTCATATTTATTGAAGGAAGATAGACTGTGAACAGTCTTCACAGCTGACAGTCTAATTGTCCTCCATTCGCTCATATTTGTAACTCATACATGTCACCCTGGGATGCTGGTATGCTGGATGGGTTTCTATTGGGAAGTGTTAACAGCTCCTAAGGGAAAACTCACATGTATGTTTTGAGGAAGGAAAGCAGTAACGTTTAAAGAGAATCAGCCGTTTTTGCCCCAAACACACACACACACACACACACACACACACACACACATACAACAAAACAAAATAAAACAACTTATACCCTCTAAGAGGCTTATTAATATTCTCAGTCTATAAAGGAATACACATTCCTAAGTTACTCATGCCATATATACCAGTCATAAATATTCATTTTGGTGAAGTCATTACTTTTGTATCTACTGACCTTTCTTTGGCATTTGCTTTATTCTAACAGATACATCTTAATAATGATATGCTTTTTGTGTTCCTGTCTTTCTGCTTTACTTTTGGTTCTTTGCAGTGGTTTAGAAGAGGTGTGAGGGACTCTGAAAAAAATGATTTAAAACACAACCAGTTGCAGTTCAGAATTCTCAAGATCTTTTGAAAGTAATAACCTACAAGACATAATTGACATTCAGAAACTAAAATCTGATCTACCTCGAGCAATGAAATTATACTACTCTGAAAAGCTGACTGTAATAAATCTACCTAAAAGTTTTAAGAATACAGCTGTTAAAGTGGCCAAGAAAATATTAATGTACTAACATTTGTGTTTTATGCTAGTTCCTTACAACCTCAAGGTACGCTAGCAGGGAAGTCTAACCTAGGACTGCATTCCTAAATGAGCTTACATGCTGGGTAAAATTAGTGGAGGCAGAGCAATTAAATTTTGGAAGTTGTAAATGCAGAACTTCAGCACTTATCTTTGGTCACTGACACTGCCTCATTTGCTCAGGCAGTGGAGCCAATCTTGGTTTTAAAAGCTTCCATTTCTCTTCCTGCCCTCGCCCCACCCCTTTTCCTGACCATTCTTGCCCAGAATTCTTCCCTGAATATTCTGCTTTTTTCTTTTCTTTTATCAACTAGTTTTTTTTCATTTCCCAACCTACATGCTTCCTAGGACATTCTCTACTATTCCCTGTTGTCAAATGCAGCACGCTCAGTGTGTGTGTGTGTGTGTGTGTGTGTGTGTGTGTGTTGTTCTGACTTTCCTTTAGTGTTGTGCCTTACTACACACTATTCCCCCAGTCTGACAGAAACTGCAGTCCCTGCCCTCATCCTCTTTTCTCTAAGTAGCTTGTCAGTCATCATTCTGCTCAAGTGCTATTCCCACGAGTTTTTCTAAATCGTGGTTGTACAGGTCATCGTTGATGTTATAACTACTGTTTTGTCTACCATCATGAGGAATTTAAGAATTTTATGACATGAAATATATGTTGATTATATTATCCCATTTATACACCTCATTGGCTCTTTGGTGATTCCCAGTTTGCTGATATCCAATAAACACATGTTGAATGGATTAGTCTTGGGGGTTTTGCTGGTACTCAGATAAACAGCTGTTTACAGAACTGTTTTAAAGTACTCAGTATAAACTTGATCCAATAACAATGGTGATCCTCTTGTAGCCCGGGCCATTTTGAATTCACTTGCTCTTTTGCACACTTATCCATCCAGTCCCCAAACTGAGATTAGAATACAATAAAAACAATGGGTGAGCCCTATACTTAGCTATAAGTATAGGGACAAAATCTTGGAATGTAGTTAGGAATTATGTTGGTTTAGTAAATAGCACCTGGCGGCTCTCCTCCAAGATCCATGACTTCACCAGTTTCAAGTATTTGGCAGATTTCCAGTACCTGCCATGGCAACTCCTGCATCTATGGCTCAGGGATCATAGAGAAGAGGATATGGGAAGGTTGTATGAGAAACAGGAAGTTCGCTGTGAAATTTTTTTCTCCTAGAAATGTCAGAGAAACCATACCTGTATAGTCTCGTCAACACGGCTGCCTAAAGAAAATCTGAACATGGATGGCACCACTAGACATGCTAGCATACAGGTGGGATGTCTCGTGGAGATTGCATCACAAAAAACTATAGGCAACTAAAGAATATCGAGAGCAGGAGAAATTGTCTTCCCCGAGGAGGAATCCCCAAACTGGTTATCCAGTACAAAGTGGCCAGCTCTGAAATCATATACATCTAAGTAACATTATGCAGACTGAGCAGATTTATATATTTAAGAAATACATAACAACCTACTCAATCTGTATAATCTAATATATATAATAAACTATAAATATTAAATTATAAATAATATATGTAACAAAATAGCAACAATAGGAAACCAAATATACACAGAAAATGTCAGTATCATGATTAGTTTATTTTTAATTACAGTTTAACAAAATGAGATTTTTTTTAAAGTTGATGGTGAGCTTCCTATTCATTTTTTCTCATTTCATATATTTGCACTATATGCATATATTTACAAGATAAAATTTTTGTTTTATAACTAATTACTCCTTCTAAATTTTGATGCTAGAGGCTTTTACTAATTTTTTAAGAGACCTATTAAACAAATCAACCTGACAAAGGCAGAGTTGTATTAAGTTTCTTACCAACCATCATGTCGGTTACTCTTTAGCTGGCTTGGACTCTAACCATAGTATGAATAGTAGGGGCTCTTCCTGTCCTCCATGGCCGGTTTATGTTCCTCAAGGGCAACCACCTGCTCACTCTTCATGAACGAGCGATCTGAGGAGAGTATCACATACCTTCTTTGTCCTTCTGTGTATTTAAGTGGGAGAGCAGGTTGTCGTTAGTTTGTATGCAGTATACCTCCCGGGTCTGGATGCCACCTCCACAGAGGGCTGTCTGATTGGCACGTCTCTTGTCCTGCTGACTGAGCAAAGGGTCCACGTGGCACTCGGTCCACTCTGTAGTTCTCCAGCCATACCTAGATGAAGAGAATCAGAGGGTGGTAGAAATGTGTACTCAGGAAAACGTTTCTCCACTCTTTTCAGATTTCCTTGTAAAACTCAAACTTAAAACCATTTCTTCTGGATCCTGTACAGACTCCCAGTCTGATGCAGATTCAGTTTCATTAGCTTCCTTGTCCTCAATTGGGACCGCTTTAGAGGGGTTAAATGCAGAGTGTGCCTGTTTTAATTGCAAGTACTAGAAGTTACTTATCAATATTTTATGAAATAAGAACATAATGCTGAAAACATGAAATTTTATGTGCAATTAAACTGAACTCAAGCTTGCCCTTTCTTAATGCTTATAAACAAAGGCAGGCTGAATCTGAGAATACCAAACATTTTAAGTGATGACGAGCCCAAACACTTGTTTTGCTTTTAATAAAATGCATGAAAATTGCTTATTCATATTGGAGCAAAATTATAATTGCATGCCAGATTTAAAAATATAACAGAGCAATTCAGAGCTTTCTCATTACTGTCAAGAATCAGAAGTCTTTCATGTACATGCTCTGTAGAGCCCAGCATCCTTGATGAATGCCAATGAATGATGGGAAGAGCTGACGATGCTCTTAGTAATGCGCAGAGAAGATGATCCCTGATTATGATTTGAAAGCAATGTTGGGGTTGTCAGCCTGATTTTCCCTAGAAGGAGATAGACAGGGAAGCATTTCCTCATGTCACCAACAATAGAAAGTGATAGCATTTCTCCACCTCTAGGAAAGTAGATACCTTAAAAGCCCAGAGGAAATGGCTCAAGTACCACTTTGACAGTCTAACTATGATGCTTCCCCATGGATCAGATTAATAGCTAACACAGATATAAATGGATGTGCTCATCTCAATTAGACAAAAAAGGTTAAAGGTGCCCTTAGATATCTGTTCTGGGTGTGTGGCTCTGTCAATGGTGAGTAATTTGCCAGTGAAATTGAGATTCCTTTCTATTTTCATTTTTATAAGTGGGGATTTGAGGATGCACAGCTGTGGGATTGGCCATCAAGGAACAGCACTCAACCTTGTTTGTGAAGGAAGAGCATTTCTAGATACAAGGGTAATTGATATTTGGTTGTTGGAATTGGGTAGATGAAAGTAAAACTGAAGAACTAATTTTCTATTGTAGTTAGAATGACACATTAAAAAAATCTAGAATGGCATTCCAGTTTAGGTCATACTAAGGAGTCCTGTGATAGAAACAGACTTTCAATAATATAAATAGTTAATATAGTAAAAGAAAAGTGCTACCCTAGGAAGTGGAGAAGATAAAGAATACCAATGATATCTGCATGTGTTTATTAGTGGTACTTGAAGATTTGAGAGGATAAAAAATGAGGCACCACAGTTAGACAAAAGCAGAAGAAACTGATGGGAGAGACAACATCCAGAAATCTGGGCAGCATCCCTGACCCCCTGTAACGTAGAAGAACCAGCACAGTCAGTGGGACCCAGAGAGCATAAGGAGGGAACTCGAGTTTCCATTCCCTTCTTACCTGTGAAGATTGTGGATGATTGCAAAACACTGTAGAAGACCTCATCATATAAACCATTGCTATTTTTGTTATCATGTCTATATATACTAACAACACTAATTTGCCTCTTCACTGGTTTATGAATTTCAAACTATATCCATGTCCTTTGAATGTGTGGGTAGTCCAGAGAAGCTTGCAGTGGAGTGTGCATACTAAGATTCTCTGTGTTGCCTTATATATATTCTGTATTCAGAAAAATCAGAAATATTTTTAAGACAACTCATTGTAATATCTTGGAAACAGTATTTTTAAGGAAAAGTACTGTTAGATTGGTAAATATTTCAGAACTAGTCTTATTTCATCTGAGGTCAATGAACATTTATTAAGTATTTAATGTGTGTTAGGCCCTATAATGTATGCTGGTGGTGAAACAAACAAAAAAACTAAATGAACAAAACATCTCCAACTCCCAACACCTAAAATCCCCTTAATTTTGGTGTAGTTCTTTACTCTATTTAATTAAAATTTTATATATATATATATATATATATATATATATATATATATATATATATTAGTAGGTCACAGGAATCTGTGATTTCAATGTTTGGAGGTCAACAGATAGTGGACCAAAGACAAAATCATTGGACACACTCATTTACAAACCACCTATACCTCTACTGATGGTGCTGACTCACTGCAACAAAAACATATGTAACCTGTCCAATCTAATGTTCTCATTGTGTGCCATCTACTAAAAGAATTTACCAACTAATGTTATAGAATACGCTAAAAGAATTGCTGTTAAAAGTCTAGCCTTTACAGAAATTTGGAAGTGAAGTTGTTAAATACATTTTCATTTTGTAGAAGCACATTTTTAATGGATAAAGTTTGTAATGAGATATTCTATTTTTCTGCTTAAAACACTCAAGAAAATTCACCATTTCTATACTGTTGAGACTGAAATAGTGTTTTGAATCAGAATAATGATATAACAAGTTTCAAATATTTGTGACGTCAGAGAGCTGAAGGGGCCATGACATCTGAGCACACCACACTCTTTGTTTTACTCACATAGCACAGAGGACAGCTCCATCTCCCTGAGACAAACAGGGTTCTTTCTCCTCAAGTTCTGGACATTCCTTTTCACTTGCAATTGGATACTGCCTGATGGTCCTTGTCCTGACACGAGTGCCTGTGGGGGATGTGACATCGTGGCATGTTTTTGAACATGGGCTCCATTCCAACCACTCGGACACCTGGCACTCTTTGGTGATCACACAGGACTGGAAGGTCATGGGCAGTTTCTCTTGTTGGCAAAAGCTGTAACAAAGCATTCATATTTTTAACCTCAGACTCACAGGCAGCTAGAAACTTTGTCGTCTACACTCCAGAATAAAATCAGCTTAGACAGTTTGATTTCTAAGTGGACATGCAATTGACAGTTTCATAGAAAATACACTAACATTTGCAAAGTGTAGTGGAAAAATAAGACGAACATTAATATTTGCCTCTTTTTTTTGGCGAGGGAATTGTTAAGCTACTCAAAAGAAATAGAAAATAAAGGAGAGTCAGAGAAATCAACCAAAGCTGAGTTTATCACATTGATGCTTATTCACCCTAGGTTTATTTTAATTTAGAAAAGGAGAAACCTGAAACTGTTAACATATGTTAATATCCATTCTATTTTACTGATTTAAATAAGCATAACTGCTTAGTTTCAATATTTTTGGAATAGAAAGCATCAATTAATATGTGCCTTAGCATAATTTTATGGCAGTCATGACTTACAGTCATAATATATGCTTATCTAAATATATCAACCTTTCTAGCTTATACAATTTTAAATTTCATTTTTATGTGTCTGTGTATAAGTCTGTGAGTGTATAGTGTGTGTGCAGAGTCCAGTAGAGGGTGGTTGATTTTCAGGAGCTGAGACAGTGGTGATTCCCTTGATGTGAATGCTGAGAACTGAATATGAGTCCTCTGGAGGAGCAGCAAGTGTTTTTAACCACTGAGACATGTCTCCTGCCTTTCTAATTAATATGAAATACTTGTGAACATCCTGATTAAACACCCAATAAATACTTTTTAAAATGTTTACCTATTTCCTACATGTTATAGAGACATACTCTAAAGAAATCTTTAATATTTATTTTACCAATAAAGTATTTGTGTTTAAATTCTTGTCTTTTAAATTTTTCTCGAATCTGAGGCATATTGGGTTCAAAATTGTAATATCAACAAATAAAGCAAAAGATGGTATTATGGATGTCAACAGCTAAGGGTCCAAGTAGCTGAGTTTTCCTGGAAATGTACTCTTCTGTGGACTCTTACCCAGACTCCCAATACTGTGCAGTCATAGAAGCAGCCTGTTGTGATCATAATTATCCAGCCTGATGGGAGAAGTCACTGATCTTTCCACCTTATTCAGGTTCCGTATTCATTTGTTCTAATTACCCACAGAGGGAGGCAGGTACGTTTTACTCTAACAACTTACATCCTGTTGTCTTAATCCTATCACGATGCATGTTTTTGAAAACTGTAGTCCCACAATATAATTAGAGCTGAAAACATCAAAGTCATTTTGTTGAACTTGAAAAGCCTGAGCAGAAAATCATCTGAGAATGGATAAAAGGAAGCCTGTGGGTTAGTTTTGTTTCCCTATACCAGAACAAAGCCCACCTGTACTCAAATGTTACATAAGTGCTGGCATTAATGGTGTCCTTAGCTATAACACCACTGAGTTTTCTTTGTGATGAAGAGCTTTTCATCCTCACATTGGGAGTTACTTCTGAGAATCAGGGAAAAATAAATAACCAAATGTTTCCTATAACCCCATTTTTACAAAATGTAGTTAATTCATTTCCTCCTAGATTTATTGCCTTTCTTTCTACATTGGCATGTATTATCCTCCAGGTAATACTCAAAAAGTTCATAGTCTATGTGCAGGTGAAAGATCAGTAATCTATTTTAATCTTTTCTAGATAATTTGACCATTGGTGTACTGCCTATTAGGACAGTTACCTGGGTTACCTGATGAACTGACATGTCAGCTATATTACTATGTCATATTCCTTCATGATAAAATGAGTCCTTTTAGATAAATTCATCTGATTTTTGGAAATATGAATACCCTGTAGGCAGACACAGCACTGGCCCTCAGAGCAGACAAACTTATATCGAAATTTTGGCACCTAAGATTATGAAATTCTTTCAAGAGATACTGGCTCCAGTATTCCATGAAGCTGTTGATTCATCTCCCACACCTACCTGATACGAGAGTAAGAGAATATACATCCACATATATTATACATCCATATAATATTATACATCCATATAATAATATATTCCTATATTTGGCTTTGAATGCCATCCCACCAGATGAGGAATGTGACAATTACAGTAGGTTCTGTTTCCTGTTTCATACTTTCTCAGTAGATCTAAAACACTTGCTGCTGATGGTACTATTGTTAGTATTGTTGGTTTGAAAACTTTGGAAAGCCTAAGTTTAAAACTGAACTCATCGGTGGTGGCGCACGCCTTTAATCCCAGCACTTGGGAGGCAGAGCCAGGCGGATCTCTGTGAGTTCGAGGCCAGCCTGGGCTACAGCGCGAGATCCAGGAAAGGCGCAAAGCTACACAGAGAAACCCTGTCTCGAAAAACAAACAAACAAACAAACAAACAAAAAAACTGAACTCATATACTTAACTTGATGATTTCATTATTCTTCTATGGGCCTCACTGTTAATTTCACTTTATATTGAAGCATCCTGACAGAGGTTAGGGAGCTTGCTGAAGAGTTTGCCAGTTCTAAATTGTGGTATGTAAGCTGAGCTTAGATTTTTCTAAAACCAGAGCTTATTTCTTAGCCATCCCTTTCTCAGCCACTTCTCATAGCTTTAACTAGCTTTAAACCATAAGGTTTTTGCAGTTATTGCTTTAGCTGAGGAATATGCCGAAGTTAAACTGTGAAAAAACTAGCACCAGGGCTTCAAAAACCTACATTTTGTGCCAATTATATGCTTCACAAGTATTGTGTTTGCCATACAGGGCTTAGTAGTAATAATTAAAATCCCAAACAAATACATTTTTTCCAAAGCCATGGTCACACTGATGATCCTAGTTAAACTCAATCAATCTTAAAAAATGAAATATTATGTCTCAAGTGAAGAAAGTTATACAAACACAAACACAAGGATGACGTCAAATTGTAATTTCATGCTTCTGTGTGGGGCACATACAACATACATTTATGTGTATGTATTTCTGTGTGATTTCAAGTTTCCAAAAATACAGATGAAAAAACTGTGACACTGGAATTTAGAAACAAAAAGACAAGATGATAGTAATTAAGTTAGAATCATAAGTGTATGATGGGAGGCATAGAGGGTTATTTCAAGTAGTGCAATACTATGGTGAATGTTAACTATATGTTAGAAGTTTTCAGATTGAGTTAAATTTAATTGATGATGATTAATTGAGATAAAGTTAATCTGTGATGAAATAACATATTGGACAATAGAAAACAGATTGTTTTCTTGGCCTAGAGGAATTGAGAGTTGGTAATAAGTAGTAAAAATAAGAAAAACACATTACAAGCTTTGCTTACATAGCCAGACATTATGCGGAGAGAGAGAGAGAGAGAGAGACTCTAAATTGGAGGTCTCCTTTGGGTCCCTACCCATGGAGATCTGGTAATCCTGTAGAAGAAGAGGAGGAAAGATTGTAGGAATCAGAGGGAATGGAGGACACCAGGAGAACATGGCCCCTGAATCAACTAAGCTGGGTTAACATGGGGCATGCAAGGTCTGCACTGTGGGACTCTGAACTGGAAGTGGGGGTGTCTCCAACTCTTTTGCCTGCCCTTGAGACTCTTTTCCTCCTACTGAGTTGCCTTGTCCAGCCTCAGTATGAGGGCTTTTGCCTTGTCTTATTATATCCTGTATTATTATGTTTGGCTGTTGTCTCTTGGAAGCCTGCTCTTTTATGAAGAGGAAATGTAGAGGGAGTGGATCTAGGGATGTGGGGGAGGTGGGAGGGAAGCTGGTAGGAGGAGAGGGAGGGGAAACTGTGGTTGGAATGTATTGTATAAGAGACTTGTATTTTAAAAACAGTGGGAAGGAGTCACACCAGACAACAGGGCCCAGTGAAATGTTTATTGAGGAGAGGGGAGAGGAGGGGTAAAGACCAGTCCCTGGGGACAAGAGTGAAGGAAGAGAAAGAGAAAGAGACAGGAGGTGGGCAAGGCCTTCTTTTATAAGAAGACCCAGCGAATGCACAAAATGGGGGGCTCTTAGTGGTTGCAAGTGTGGATGTATCCTGTCAGGACCCTAAGGGCAGGTCAGTACAGATGCCTAAGTGCTAACAGAGAAGAATCTATTTTAAGAAAAAAAGCTTTGTTTACATACAGGTTCTCATGACTGTCCGCTGGACTTTAACCAGGAGGGAAGGATAATATAGGGAAAAATGGGAGATGGAGAGATAAATAATACTAAGGATCCTTGAAAAGCCATAGAGAAACACTGTTTTATTCTTATTTAAAACATATTATATATATATACACACACATACATAATACACGCATACATATATAGTCAATGAAGTTATACCACATAAAGTGATGGGACTCCACCCAAGAACCATATAGCATTTAATGAATACCCTAGTACCAGACATGGGAAACCTCCTGTTGTTGTTGCTTTCACTCTTTTGGGGGGCCTGCCACCTAGCTCCCAAACTTTTCTCATCTTAAATTGTCCTATCTGCCTTTTGCCTCTGGACTTTTCCCGTTCCCTCACTTCTGTAAATCTTATTCTTTTTTTTTTTTGACTTTTTAAATTATTATTATTTTGCAATACAATTCAGTTCTACATATCAGCCATGGATTCCCTTGTTCTCCCACCTCCCGCCCCCTCACCTTCCCCCCAGCCCACTCCCCATTCCCACCTCCTCCAGGGCAAAGCCTTCCCCAGGACTGAGATCAACCTGGTAGACTCAGTCCAGGCAGGTCCATTCCCCTCCTCCCAGGCTGAGCCAAGCGACCCTGCATAGGCCCCAGGTTTCAAACAGCCAACTCATGCAATGAGCACAGGACCTGGTCCCACTGCCTGGATGCCTCCCAAACAGATCAAGCCAATCAACTGTCTCACCCATTCAGAGGGCCTGATCCAGTTGGTGACTCCTCAGCCATTGGTTCATAGTTCATGTGTTTCCATTCGTTTGGCTATTTGTCCCTGTGCTTTATCCAACCTTGGTCTCAACAATTCTCGCTCATATAAACCCTCCTCTTTCTCGCTAATTGGACTCCCAGAGCTCCATC